AAAAGCCAGGCATGGTGGCACACGCTTAAAATCTGGGGAGGTGAGATGGTCAGGTTCCTGGAGGCTTACTGGCAACTACCTACCCTACCGTTGAGCCCCAGGCCAGCGAGAGGACCTGTCTCACAAAGCAAGGTGAGTGGTACCCGAGGAATTATACCCTAGGTGGACCTCGGCCTCCACATGCATTTGCACACAGTGTAGCTGCACACACATAAACACACACCCAGATTGTGGTAAGAACCCTTCACATGGGACCTCTCAACAAAGTTCCAGGTGTTTAGTCAGTTACCCGGTTGTTAACTGTGGGAGCACAGTCCCTATGCAGACAGCTTTGTCTAGCAGATCCCCGGTCTAAGGTACTTTGCATGATCTAGAACTTTATCATCTTGGATAACTGAAGCTTTATGCTTGTTCCCAGAATTGAGTTTAGGGGTGTGTGTGTGTGTGTGTGTGTGTGTGTGTGTGTGTGTGTGTGTGTGATGTAGCCCAGGCTGCCTCAATTTCCTTATATAGCTGAGGATGACTTTGAACTCCTGATCTTCCTGTCTCCACCTCCCAGGTACTGGGATTACAGGCATATGCCATCATTCCTGGCTTGAATTTTGAGTTCCTGAATGGAAGGAGAGAAGCTGGGGAGCAGGGCTGTGATCTCCCTCTGGAAGGACAAAGCTCCACATTAAGCACTGTCCCTAACTGGTCTGTCACTCAGAGAGGTTGTCTCTGACCTCGTGGTCTGGTAATCTAAGACAGACACCAGATGAGGTCTCAATATTTGAGTATTTGGGGCCTGCTTGGTGCCACACACTTTGTTAGGGAGCCATTGAATCTGAGAAATGTAGTGATATATTGTGTACCCTAATAAAGCTTGCCTGAGGATTAGAGGGCAGAGCCAGCCACTAGATTAGACATAGAGGCCAGGCAGTGGTGGCACACACCTTTAATCCTACTACTCTGGGGGCAGAGAGCCATCTGGATCTCTGTGAGTTCAAGGCCACCCTGGACTACATGAGATTGACTCAGTCTACGAGAGAAAACAGAGCCAGGCAGTGGTGGCACACACCTTTAATCCCAGTACTGGGAAGCACACACGCCTTTAATCCCAGGAAGTGATATCTGGGTGGAGAAGGGTATATAAGTCTGAGGAGACAGGAATTAAAGGCTCTTTTTGGCTGAGGCCTTTTGGGTGAGGACTCAGGTTTTCAGTCTGAGAATTTGTGGAAATAGGATTGGCTGAGGAATTGATAAGGTGAGGTTGGCTGTGGTTGGCTCTGCTTCTCTGATCTTTCAGCTTTCACCCCAACATCTGGTACTGGGTTTTTTTTTTTAATTAATAAGACCTTTTAGCAATTCGTGTTCCATATGGCGTCCAACTTTTGGGGCACGAATTCACGAAAAGAGCCACTTGCCTGTGGCTCAGGCCCGACCTGCAGGTATCTGGAATTTCCATCCCACCTGGGCAAGAGTCCTTCCCCTGCTGGCTAAGTTTCTGTTGCAGCTTCTCTGCAGCAAACTCCCCAGGCTCAGGCTCCAAACATGCTGGAATTAGCTGCTTTTGCAAGCTCCCCTGTACAAACAACAGCCTCTAGTTTCTTCCCTTTGGCTCTCTCTGGGCCCTATCCTCAGGCTGCTGCCACACTATTATCTGAATCATTGTCAGAAGATTTGGTGAGTCAATTAAGATTTCTTAAAGGGAGGAATTAGTTAAAATTTTTCCCGTATTAAAAAATGGGAAACATTTTTACAATGGAAGGCATTTGGTGTCTGTTTGATTATACATTAAATGGTCTGAAAATGGAACAGTTAAATGAGAGGATAATTAACGATGCAATAGATGTAATGTCAATTATAAATACTATTTGATCATTTTTTAATCATTAAAAAATTGGTTAATATGAGTGCCAAGATAAAAGTTTTAGAAAAACTTGTTAAAACAGACTATAGATATATTTAGACCCAGACAAGAATTTCAAGGAGAACCAATCTCAACATTGCATTATAAGGTAACAGAGAAACAGCCTAAGGCTTTCAAATAGCAATCTTAATCTATCCAGTAACCTTATAGGAACTACCGAGTGAGAAATATCCTCAAGGCTGTGTAAGAGCTGACTGGACTCCTGTGCAAATGTTAGATTTGAAAAGATTCAAAGAAGCAATAGTCCCATATGGCATCCACTCATCTTTCATGAAGCAGATGTTAAACTTGTAATAGAATTACCCCTCAAGACTGGAGAGATTTGGTTACAGCCATCTTAGAGGCTGGTCCACAATTACAATGGAAGACTTGGTTGGAAAGATGAGGCTAAGACCATTGAACAATGGAGTAGGGCTAGAGGTCTTGAAATTTCCCAAGATCAACTTCTTAGAGAAGGTGATTATGCTGATATACAAAGACAATCTTTATATGATGACCACACCCTAACTTTATGTTGCATGGCAGCTTTGAATGCTTGTGACAGTACTGAAGTAGGAAAGAAAATTGAGTCATTTACTAAAGTTATACAGGGCACAAAAGAAACCTTCACTGATTTCTTACAAAGACTAATTTCAGCAGTAAATAGAATGATATTCAATTCAGAAGCTAGACAGATAATAATTGAATCTCTGCCTTTTGAAAATGCTAATACACAATGCAAAAGGGTAACTAGGCCATTAAAGGCAAGATCAGCACCATTGGAGGAATGGATCTGAGATACAATTAATTTTGAATCTCATGACCATGATGATGTTTGGATAGAAGAGGTGATTTCCAGAGGTTTGAAGAAAAATAGTAATGTCAGGTGTTTCAATTGCAATAAACAAGGTCACCTAAAAAGGGATTGTAAACAGGGTGGTCCTAGAAACAAATTTTTCTCAAGGAATAATTCCAACAGAATGTTCCTCCCTTCTGGATTATGCAGAAGGTATGGCAAAGGTAAACAGTGGACTAACACATGTAGAGCAACAAGAGACAGACAAGGTAATCCTTTTCCTTTGCTGTCAGGGTACTACCTGAGGGGCTTCTCACAGTCTCCCAAGACAAATTTGGTTCAGTCCTTTCCTGTCACCCTGGAAGGAACTCCTTCCCAGAGCAATTAAAGAACTTAATGCCTATTGTAAAAAACCATACTACTCTGAGTGATAGAACAGCTATAGAAGAGAGAACAAAAAATTCGGGAGAAACCATAAAGTGAATTTTTTGGCAAACTTCTATAAATGAACAAAGACCAAAATTAAAACAGGGATGTTCTCATGGAAGGTCTTGTAGACACAGGTGGGGATGTAACAATAATTGCACCAGAATCTTGGCATCCAAATTGACTCTTCAGGAGGTAAATGTTCAGCTTTTAGGGACTGGAACATTATCTGAAGTGAAGCAGAGCATGAGATGGGTCAAATGTATATGGCCAGAAGGACAGAGAGGAAAATTAAAGCCATATGTGGCTAATATAGCTATTGTTACAACAATGAAATACCCAGATTAACGTTCCTCCAATCTCAGAAACTAGCATATGCTTCTGAGAAAAATGTTAGAAGATATTATAAAGAACAGCCACCAACCATCCAGATTGTACAAGAACAGCACAACAGCTACTGATCTTTCAAAGACACCAACAGCCCTACCTTTAATATGGTTAACAGACAAGCCTGCGTGGGTTCAGCAATGGCCTTTAACAACAGAGAAACTGCAGGTCTCAGAACAGCTGGTACGAGAGCAGTTAAGTGCTCAGCATATTGAAGAATCAACCAGCCCTTGGAATTCTCCTGTATTTGTTATTAAAAAGAAATCTGATAAATGGAGAATGGTAACAGACCTAAGAGCTATTAAAGGTAATTCAGCCAATGGGCTCTCTACAGTCTGGAATTCCTTTGCCTACTCTGTTACCTATATGGCCTCTTTAGTTAATGATTTAAAAGACTGTTTCTTCTCAATACCCTTACAAGAAGAAGACAGAGAAAAATTTGCCTTCATGGCGCCTACTTGAACTAATTCTTAGCCTGTTAAGAGATATCAATGGAAGGTTCTCCCACAGGGAATGTTAAATAGTCCAACCCTGTGCCAATATTTTGTATGACAGCCATTGGAAGTAATACATAAACAATTTCCTTAATCTACAGTTTACCATTACATGGATGACATTTTACTAGCTGATTCAAATATAGATACTTTAGAAAGAATGTTTGAAGAAGTAAAGAAAATTTTGCCTTGTTGGGGATTACAAATTGCTCCTGAAAAGATACAAAGAGGAAATTCTATTAATTATTTAGGATATAAAATAGTTCTACAAAAAATTAGACCTCAAAAGGTGCAAATTAGGAGATCAATTATGGACTCTTAATGACTTTCAAAGATTATTAGGATACATTTCCAATCTACGAACCACTATTGGTGTAAAAAATGATGAACTGAGTAATTTATTCAAAACCTTAGAGGGTGACAAGGACTTAAATAGTCCAAGAGAATTATCAGCTGAAGCTGAGAGAGAATTGGCTTTGGTGGAAAAGAAAATACAGAATGCACATGTGGATCATTTGGATCCAAAGCCTGATTGCATTTTGATTATTTTACCCTCTAAGCATTCTCCTACAGGAATTTTAATGCAGAGGGAAGATATTATATTATTATATTGGAATGGATATTTCTTTCTTTTTTCCCTTCCTTCCTTCCTTCCTTCCTTCCTTCCTTCCTTCTCTCTCGCTCTCGCTCTCGCTCTCGCTCTCCTCTCTCTCTTTTGAGACAGGTTTTCTCTGTGTAGCTTTGCACCTTTCCTGGAACTCACTCTGTAGCCCAGGTTGGTCTCATACTCACAGAGATCCG